CAGGTAACCTTGAAAAATATCTGAAAAAATTGAAACTATAACCCCTACAATGCCTATATCGGTAGTAGAGGGGATAGGCGGGTTCTGGACCAGGAAGTGACGTAGCCAGCATCCATCGAGCTGCAAGGTCACCTCAAGGTCATGTCAAGGTCGTCTGCGGCCAAGGTCACCTCAAGGTCATGCCAAGGTTTCCTGAGGTCAAGGTCACCTCAAGGTCAGCGTCCATCGAGCTTGAGGGTCCGCCTTGTGGTCATTGGCTTCTGGGGTGACTCTGAAGACTTCTTGACATGATCTTGAAGTGACCTTGCAGTTCGATGGACGCTGGCCACGTCACTTCCTAGTCCAGAACCCTCTACTATCGGTGAAAAGAGAATTTGATTTTCTATAATATGATGCAGAAAAATACAGGCTGTTCCATTTAAATTTAAAAAGTTTTGTCGGTTTTAAGTTTTCAAATTGTAAAGTGAAAAATGAGATACTTAGTATAATTTTCTTCAGGTAATTTTTATAGCGGAAGGTAGTGCACCTTATGTTATTTGTGTATTCCGAAAAGCAAGTGAAAGCTCCCAGAACGAAGAAAGATATAAGGAATTTTCGAAACGCTTGCATCTGTCAAATTTTTTGTAAAATGACGATTATCTCGAAAACGGTTAGATTTAGGTACAGAAAAGCTTTAAAATTTTTGATTTATTTTTAATTTATCTTGTCGATAATGTAATAATATATAGGGTGTTCCATTTAAAATAACGAAGTTAACAGCTACTTCCGGTATAACCGGAAGTGCTACGTTGATGGCATTATTTTCATTGAAGAGAACATATCTGATGACCCCCGTAAACAAAATTTCAGTCATTATTGTCTTTGATTCCTCTGAAACGTCTAATAGGCCACTTACCGTTAAGAACCCTGTATATAATATATGTTTTATTATTAGCTAATTATATTAAGTTAATTCAAATGAATTTAAAAAAAAATCGTAAAAAATACCAGATATAATGAAATTGTTAAATAATGCAATCTTTCAAAGAAATATTTTTCTTCCAGCAACAAGTAAAAATAATACTATCTTACTATTTCCAAATTTTTGAAAAAAATACACATAATCAATAATATATACGTCAACAATCATGTTTCAGAAAAACTATCATCGGCTGTTATGATACAAAAGGTGAGAAGAAATAAAAGCTCACATTTAGAAATTTGAAATAATGTTTCTAAAAATGCCCTTGTAGTCTAACACTGCTGATATACGGTGAACGTAGACAAAACGTTGCGGTCGCACAAAGGTATGTCATCAAGTGTTGTAAAAGTTGTGAGCGTGCGAACATTATATGCATATTGAGACACTATTAATAAAATAATATCTTTATTTGTGTTTATAACAGTGAAGTTTTTTAAGCATTATTTAATTATTGCATGGTTTATTTAATATTTTATAGCGCAACTGAATTAGTGTTTTATCCTACGAACTGAATATTTCGAGGAATCCGTAAAATATAATTCTAGTGAAATCTAATTCCGCCAATATTGAAATTCCTGAAAACTAATTGAAAAATTTCGAAACGTCTACCGAGCGGACTCTAAGAAATCGATGTAATGAAGCCCGTCCCGCATCCGAACTGGAACAAAGTACCAGGTGCTAAACGTAAATTAAAGCTGCGAAAATTTAAAGCGGGTTCCATTGATTTATATTTTAAATAGTCCAATTGAAAATAATTTTATGAGATTTATGCAGTAACTGTCATTTACACGGACATTTAAATGATCCATTTGCTTAATTTCAAATTAAAATGCCAATAACAAAGCCATGAAAATTGATTTATTTGCCAAAAAATCGCACGTACAAACGAAATATAAATAGATCAGTCTATTAAATGATTGAAGGCGTGTAAAATATATAGATTATATGATATTTTAATCATTTCAATTAATTTGGGATTCGATTTGCGCAACAAATTATCTGCATTGTATCGTTGAGTGAGGATACTATTTCCTCACTCAACGATTGTATTCATATACATACATATATTTTTTGCAAATTACATCTTCCCGTATATGTTAGTGTTGTTAAAACACAAATGATGTAATAAGTAAAAAAATAAATAAATATATGTTAACCTTAACAGTCCTCATAAGGAAATTAAATCACAGTCAACACACGGAAAAATTTACCTAATACGTATACTAATGCACTGAAAAGTTTAAATTTGCTTCAAGTGTACTTTTATGAATTTACTAATACCATATATTCAATTTAAATGTTTACCTATTCTTGTCATTCATTTATTTACTAATTTCAATACTTTTTCTTTCTCAAAATAAAGTCTAAAATTTAGATTTGCTTTAAGAGATACTAGAATGGTAGGCAAGTCCGCTAAACCAGATTTGAACTTTCTCTCGGGCCTTCGGCCCTCGAGTAGCGCTGCGTGCGGCCCGAGCACGGCTACACGGTGCATTTTCTGTGGGTTAGTAAATAATATATTTTTTTTAACATTTTTGAAAAAAATAATAATAATAAAAAATGCGACCCACCCGCGATTCGAACCCCGGACCTTCGGCTTCGCAGTCGCCAGTTTTCAAAATGTACGGCGATCTAACACTGGGTGGAGCCTACACGGGTTATTTGATACCGTGGGGCTCCGCGAATGTAAACAGAAAATTGAAAATGTTCAAATCAAGTTTTATCGCCAAAATAGCGTCTTAGAAAAATCGGAACCGGTGTCTAACGGCAAAATAACGACCCGCCGTGACCCGATCGGCCGGGATGCATCTCTGTCTAAACATCGAATGTACTTCGGGTATCTCTGTCGCACCGAAAAAATCGACAATCGATTTTCGGCGAGGACTCATTTTAAAGAGAAAATTTCTCTTAGAAGACGCTAAAGAATGGCCTTCAGAATACGGCGTTTGGATAAAGGAAGGACCGAAGGGCGTTTCGCGCCCTTCGGCTCGCCGCTTCGCGGCTCGCGAGGAAAGCCTTTGATAATACCGTACGCCTCTTTTCGCGGCCAAGTATGGGAGCGCGAGTAACCCACAGCTTTTAATATATAAGGCAGAAATATTTTTTATACAGAAATGAATAATCAGAAACAGTGGAAGCGAATTTATACGACCATTGGAAATAATTAGAGATATGCAAGGTTAACAGTTAAGAAACAACTAATTTTAAAGCGAGCGATCGCAACAAAAAGTCGACTAAAGATTCAGTCTAATAACCGATGTTTTTCTTTCATTGTCTGTCTTTCTCTCTTCTCTTAGATCTGATCATAGATTTAGGTAGATATTATACTTAGCATCCATCATTTATGTACTGAGCAAATGAATAAAAATATCTAATCAGTAATTAATACTTTACTATGCATAAATTCCTTAAACTTTTGTTGTACCTACTATACAGATGATTGTATTATGGTATTATATATTCTGTTCTGATACCCTGAATTCGAGTCAGAAGTCTATTAGCTTTATCCCCCTACAGATTCTGCAAAAAAAATGCAAAAAAATTGTCGAAAACGGCAAAAAATCATATTAATGAGAGTGAAAACATTTAGAAAGCGGTTTTCTAGATTGGATCAAGTGTTCTTCTCATAAATGTTGGGTCAAATTTGAATCTAAAGTCTATTGAACCTCATTACTTAAAAAATTTTGCAAACATCGCAAAATATCGCAAAAAAAAAATGGAAATCGTAAATCACCAAAATGTCATGAATATGATTTACTTCCAAATAAATTCGACTGACTGGAACCAGGCTTTCATTGGTGTAGCTTCTACAGTTTTCTTCTCTTGTAGCGAACTCTTTTCTCTTCAGATCAAGCTTCGTCTCATGATGCAGTTTGTCAAAGCTCTAGACAAAGACGGTAGCTGTTTTAAAAATTTAGAAGAGGTTTTCAGCGATAAGTGATGCAAAATTGAAAGAAGGTATTTTTTGATGGTCCTCAAATTCGTACTCTATTTCGAAACGAAAATTTAATTACAAGGATGAATGACACTGAAGAAGCAGCATGGCAGAGTTTCAAGAATATCTCTCGGAAATTTTTAGGAAATGAGAAGACTGGGGATTACGGAAATTTAGTTGAAGAGATGTTGAAAAATTTCAAACAGTTATATTGTTTGATGAATCTTAAATTACAGTTCCTACATTCGCACCTTGACTACATTCCTCAAAACCCTGCATACTACAGTGAAGAACAAGGGGAAAGATTCCATCAAGATATAAATGAAATGGAGAATCGATGCCAAGGAAGACGGAATGTCATGAATGATGGCAGATTTCTGTTGGACCTAAAGAGAGAAACGAATCAGAATAGAGAGAAGAGAAAGAGAAACTAGTTGCATAGGTCATTCGAAGAGAAAAGAGCTCGCTACAAGAGAAGAAAAGTGTAAGAGCAGAATCAAAGAAAGTCTGGCTCGAGTCAGTCGAATTTATTTGGAAGTAATTGATATCCATGACATTTATTCAAAATTTTTTGAGATTCACGATNTATCTATATATATATATATATATATATGCATGGTAATTTTTCAAGATTTTTTGGATTCAAGATTTCCATTTTTTGTTGGCGAAATTTTCCGATTTTTCCCAATTTTTTATTAATGAGGATCAACAGAGTTTAGATTTAAATTCGCCTCGACAAAATTTATTAGAAGAACACTTGATCCAATCTAGAAAACCTCTCTAAATTTTCTCATTCTTATTTTCAGATATATTTTTGCGTTTTTTCGGAAATTATTTGGGGGGTATACTCAATAAACTCCAGACTCGAATTCAGCGGGTCAAAATACATAAGAAACACTTGATCAAGATCAGAAAAAAAATTCCGAATTTTTTTACGCTCACTAACGTGATATTTGGCGATTTTTTGATATTGGCCTATTGGGTCAAATCAAAAGTACAGACCACTTTTTTTGTGTGCGTTGGTGTAATGATGTAGAGTAGAAAATTTTTAATGGTCATACGATATTCCTGTTTACGGTAGAAGTATGTAAAATTCCTAGTGATTCACTCTACAAAATATGTTATAAACTTATTGTCTTCTTGGTTGAGACAATCAAATCAGTATTACGAGCTACACACGACTCACCTGAATTGGGTTCGTTGTCGCTGTTCGGCCTGGCAGATGGCGCTCCGTCCCTGGCCTCGATCTCCAGCGCGTAGGCGCCCTGTTTCTCCCTATCGAACACGATCTTTGTGAACACCTCCCCGGTCTCCTTGTTGATCTCGAAGAAGTCTTTACCCTCGTTACGAGGCGAGTCCACGATGTAGTAGTACACCTGCGACGATTAACGGTTAATTAGGGTTGAGGGTGCATTTAGTGGAGCGCGGGTGGCCGTTAGGGTTGGATTTTATGATGGAGGGTTTTACGAGGCGGCCCATTCGTTTGTTTTCCATTCACTTAAATGCAATTGTTCCGCAAATGGCGTTCGCTGAGAGGGCCGAGTTGATGGATGGTGACCGGGCGGGATAATTTGAAACAGTGATAAAGTGGCGCCGATCTTCAGAATGGGCGGTAATATCAGGGATAATAAGATAAAAACTATTTATTATAAATTCTATAAAACTTCAGGAAAATGCAATTTTTTTATACAAATTGTTGATGAAATTAATTTGAAAGTAGCATACTACTTGGTCCTTCGAACTGGATATTTTATACACACGAATTCATACATCGGTTGCGATATTTAACCAATTTTCAAAAAATCACTTTCCAAAGACGCCAATTTTATTTATTTGAGTACGAATCGTCAACAAGATTGATTTGAAAGAAGTGATTTACTATTTGGTCCTTCGACCTTGATATTTAAAATCCATTGCAATGTTTAGCTAACATTCAAATGGTTGAATGCTAGTTGCCCAAAGACCCTACAACAAATTTAAAATTATCAAATCTCGAATTATTGATGATGCACCTTTCATCAAACTTAATGACTATATTAGCGTCTAGTTTTTTTTCCTAACGACACATCCGAAAGTTTTTCACTTAACGTTTAAGCACAGCTTGCATAAAACCGCCCAGCGAGATCCTATGCAAATCAATCAAGTCGTTAATCGCATTACGCCTAATGACACGTCCACCAATAAAATCCATCCCCCCATCAATATCCATTTGCACACAGCGGCATCACCCGGCGACACGTCGCGTCGACGAGTTAAACTAGTTATACTCACTTGATTATTAGGGAACGTTCCGTCTTTGTCGATGGCGTTCACTTGGGTGACTTTTGTGCCGATGGGCTCGCCTTCCAGCACGGTTTCCTGTTCTCTTTCGGTAAACAATGGGATCTCGTCGTTGACGTCTTCTAATTGGATGTACACGGTAGCCTCCGACGCCAGTTGTTGGGCGCCGTTGTTCTGCAAAGTCGACGTTTAGCAGGAGAAGGAAGAGAATTTAGCGACAGGGATGCTTGGCGTTACGTAGATTTGTGTCAGGTACAAAATTTTAAAATTTGTTAATCAAATGTAAAACGATTAACTTCAGTTAAATTGAACATTTCTTGCTAACATGATTCTTCAAGGTACATCATTTATATTGACAGTTCAGTTAAACTGGACAATGTTTTCCTTAATCAGATTTACAAATTCAATGGCTCTGTTTGTGAATGACGTACACTGGAAAAAGTAAAGGTATAACTTTATAAAATTTTCATATTCTGTAAATTCTTCATTTAATTTACTGAAAAATTCATTTTTTAGAAAAAATTGTGTGAGAATTTGCAGAAATAAAGTAAATATTCTTTAAGTCTGTTTATTTTCATTATATTTTTATACAGTAGTAAATATTTAAAAATAAAATCTGTTTTTTATATCCGCAGTAATTTTTCAGCGATCCGATAACTTTCAGTTCATTAGTTGGAATTTTCCTCCATAAGTCATACGTCATCATAAATCGGCCATGTTAGATATTATTTTCCTTGCTTATGTATCAAGATACCGGCAAGCGGCATATTGATTGTGTTCATTCCTTTTTTTGTGAATAATTAGCTGTATTTTGTCTTTTGTTGAATGTGATATAGAGAAACGCTTCTATATGTATAAACATTACATGTTAAATTTAAACATAACCTTTGTGTAAATATTTCAACTTATAAAATAAGTCGTTTTGAGTTACATAGCTCTTGTAACGTTTAAAATTTTAGGGCACTACTTGTTATGACAAATCCAGTTCAGTTGAACGAAGTCCTACCACATTTTTTTCATCAAATTTAATTTATTTCAATCAGTTTCAAATGAACTTTTCCCTAGTTAAAGGGTTCTCTTGTTTCAGAAGTTCCAGGTTCTTGGAGGCATCAAATAAGAGCCGATTAGTTCAGGGGAAGGAGTATTTTTCACAATTCTATTACAATTCAGTTGCTTAGTTGTAATAAAGTGGCATCTATATGGGAGTATTAGTGTACCTAATTTCAGTAAGGCATTTCAGTTATTTAAAAAAAAAGTTAAAAAAAACAATAAATTCTTTTTTGTCAAATTTGATGCCCTCTAGCGTCTAAATACGAAGCAATTTGTATAACACGAAAGTCAGCCATTGCAAAATTTGAGTAAGCATTGAAGTGAAGTTAGAATATCTGAGAACAAAAAGTTCTTACTACTCAAATCGTTTATATATGCAATATGCATACAAGAAGAAAACAATAGTAAGTATGCTCCTAAGCATTATGTTATTATACAGTTTTAGAGCGACATATAAGATTGGAAATATTAAATATAAGGTTTTTCATACTTGCTACAATATTTCTTAATATTGCTCGTCATTTTACTATGAAATTTGCTACATTTTAGGAAATTTGTATCGGGTGTCCCAAAATCCACGAAATACTTTAGTGTTGTAAAGCGTTGCAAACGAAAAAGAAAAGACAGTGTAACATCGGACAGTTCAGGGTTATTAAAAATGGAGCGCGAAAAAAAGCAATTTCATTGTTGAGCAATATTTTGAAAATAATGAAGGTTTGGTAGCTACAGTTTCAAATTTTCGTACAAAATATGGTTGAAACTGTGATTTAACATCAGCTCTGAAGAGATGAATTGAAAAATTGAGGGAGACGAAATCAATTAGTGACCTTAAACACTGTATATCCTTCAACAAGTCGCAACAACATAAAACATTGAAACAATTCGTGAGAGTGTTGCTGAAAGTCCAGAACATCAATTCGGCACCGCGATCAAGAATTGTACATTTCGAAACGCTCTCTACGGCTTATTCTCAAGAAAGATTTGTATCTTCATGCTTATGAGTGATTTGACTCAAGAATTGAAGCCTACTGACCACGCAGAACGAAGAAAGTTCATTGAATGGATTATATGTAGAACAAATGGATGCGATTTTCAAACAAAATTATCTTCAGCGATGAGGCTCATTTTCATATCGATGGCTTCGTTAATTGACGAAATTGTCGCATTTGGAGTTAAAAAAATCCACAAATGATTGCTGCGAAATGCATCCTCAACGTATCACTGTTTGATACGGATTTTGGGCTGGAGGCATCATCGGACCATTCTTCTTCTAAAATGTGACTGGTCAAGCAACAACAGATAATGGTGTTCGCTATCGCGACATGATAAGCCAGTTTGTGCCTAAATTTCAAGAAATGGATGGAAAAGACATGTGGTTTCAGAAGATAACAGCGCATGCCATACAGCCCGAGAAGCAATTCAATTACTGCATGAGTCATTTCCTGGTCGTGTAATTTCCCGTTTTTGCTGCCCAAATCATACGATTTTGTGCCGTTGAACATTTTTTAGATTTTTTTGGTGTCTAAGGTTTATTCCAACAGGTCCATGACCACTTACGCCTTGAAGGAGCGAATTGAGCTATGTATCAACGAAATTCAGCTGTATTTATGTGAAACGGTTATGGAAAATTTCGACAAAAGAGTGCGTATGTGCCAATAAAGGCGTGGAAGCCATTTACCAGATATGATATTCCATACTTAACCCTAAAGGTACTGTAACTGCAAATTTACAATTTTCATTAATTAAAACCTCTGTTTTCTATCAAAATTACTTCTTGCGGGACACCCTTTGTTGCCGGATTCACTAGCTTTTACATGTCTAAGGTACTTTGATTTTTTTTTAAATTTCGAAAAGTGTATTTTCTGTTAATTTAACCAATTATTTGATTGCATTTTGTGACTTTGATAAATCATCACAACGCCAAGAATCCTCGTCTACCACTTAATTTGCAGCCATACCTCAACACGGATTGTCAGGTTATACTCCTTGATGGTTTCATAGTCCAGAGGGTGGTTCACCTTGATATCGGCCCAAGTGAAGCCATTATCTGGCCTCTGTTGCAGGTAAAAAGTGTGGAACTTGTTGGTCTGCGCTGTGGAACCAGGCATCAACCGGTAGAAAACCGTTGGGTTGTTTTCGATACCCGAGCTAAGCAGAAAAAATTGAGGAAAAACGTGCCGCGTGATAACACAGCGTTCCTAAACGCTATGAAAAACTATCACGTGAATGGCGATCAAAAAGCAAAAATTGTTGGTCTCAAAATACCATGGCTTACAAAAATTTGGATCAGCCACATGCAAAACTCGCGAGAGGGTCCTGACACTTTCACAAACTCCTAATATTTTATCACAGGAGCATTAAGGAGATAAAAATTAGACGGATCTTTGAATTACCGAAAAATTTAACAAAAACGATTTGTCAAAAATACGATCAACAAGTATCTAGTGTCCTGACCCTAAAAAAAATATGTAATTGACATGCAGCCATCAAAAGAACTATTCTATAGACACGAGGCATCCGAAATTTGTATCTTAAACTTAAAAATATTCGTCTAAAAATCTACAGACGACCATGCAGTAAAATATTATCACGGATGCCGAAGTGTCGATCTTTGAATACCTCCACAGTATGAAAAATTTAGTATTCTTGTGTATTACTTGCCAATTATTAGTTGGTAGCTCTATCATATGCCATCTAGAGCAACCAGTGCCATCTATGCAAAGTCAGGGGAACTAAACGCGGCTACAAAATCAATACCCCAACCCCAACTTTAGAGTATACGGGCACCGTTACGTAGCCGCGCTCAGAACCGCTGATTGTGTGGTTAGAAATGCAGTAGTTACTCGGTAGAGGGCTCAAAAAGATTATTTTCGGTCGATTGATAAAATACTAAAACCTAAATAATGATGGAGTGAGACATGGGTGGGGTGAAAGTCGCTGAATGCTGTTAAAGGTGTTGCTTCGACCCTTAGCCCCAAGCTTCGTGAGTTAATGCGTGTGGTGCAAGCTTCAACAACATTCAGCAGCGTTGGGAGTCGGGTTGGTCGGGAGGACTACACACCCAGAGCTACGGGACTAGGATAGACAAATTTCATGATGATGACGTATTTAATCTTTTCTCAAGTTCCTTCAAAATCATTCGGGAAATGGTCTGTGCGATTCGTTGGTTTTATCGTACACCTTCCAAATCTAATTATATCCACGACATAATAGACGTTCCAATAAATTATACTTAAAATAATTATTCAATCTACTACTCTCATTCCTTTTCTGAAAAATTAACCTTTGTTGAACGTAAAATTTGATATTACGAGTGTCTGATTATTGAAGAGTCGGTTTTTAGGCATACTTTCCTTGACGCAACACGTCTGTCGTGTTGCAACCACAAACTCTTTCATTTTGATTTTATTAACCGAATAGTACAGCACAGAGTCAAATAAGCGATTTAGAACCAATAAACATTACGTCCTGAAGTATTCAGGATTCTGGTATTCAGTTAGAATATGTAGTACGTTATTTTTTGTGCAATTTGTAGTTTTTTCTGAAATGATAGCATTAAAAGACGTTTCAAGATCGGTTTAAGGAATACTTGTCATGATTTTGAAGGAAGTTGTTCTGGTATCTGAATGGTCCCAGGGCGCGTGCAGGCCCTGCTTATATTTTTTTGGAAAAAGCGTGCACAAACAGACGAGATGTGCCGTGTAGCTGCGTGCTGCTACACGGTCAGCACCACACTGATTTTATTTAATACTGATAGACGTAGGAGTACGACAGTGGTACTGAGGCACAGACCTTGCCTTCACCGACACCACCTTAGCCCCAACCGGGAAGTTTTCCCGGATGAAGATGGGGCCGTAAACTGTGTGATCCCAGACGGGAGGGTTGTTAGCGCGGTCCACAACGTCTATCTGGACTTCCACGGATCGGGACAGGGGAGGGTAGCCTTTGTCTTGGGCGGTGGCCTCCAGCTTGTAGGTCTCACGCTGGAGAACGCGCGGGAACAGTACACCAAAGTTACGAATCAAGTGGATACTCAAAATAGACAGTGCCTGACTCATCTAGCACCGCCAAGACGCTCGCAACCCCAACGCAATACCATGGAACACCGCGTCGATTTCCTGGTAAAAATCGGCGCGGTGTTCCACGACGGCCTACGGAACGTGGTGGCTAAAAAAGCGCCGTTTAAAAAATACATCCAAGACCGTAGCGTAACTGGGATGGACGCGTTTTGGCTGTGATACACGAGAAGAGACACCTGGTGAGCGTACAAACAACATGGAATAGTGGGTCATGGGCTGGTAGTATTATGGACTTCCTATGACGGACCGCGGTCCCGAGCCGTGCCCCCACGCGGCCCCCCACCCTCGAGCCGCGGGACTGCGGTCTTCGCCCGTCGGCGCTTCCTCGACGATACCAACCTGGCCTTCACAGAAGTCACTACAGTACCCACTGTGACATTTTCTCTGATGTGAATGGGGCCGTACGTGGCATCATCCCATAGTGGTGGCTTATTGTTTCTGTCAACGACGTCTAACTCAATGTCCACGTCCGCGTAGGATGGTGGGGTGCCTCTATCAGAAGCGCGCACGCGCAGACGGTACCTGTCTCGCTATGCAACAACACGAGCACGGTCAGGTCAGGTACAATGGGACAAACCAAACAGAACACACTCAATCAACGAAATTAGCGAACCAAAAAAATATATAACTGTAACTCAATCACACAACAGAACAACTCAAGAGCAAAAAATTTTCGAGGGGTTGCGGCCACCTAATCGGGTTTAATGTGGCGGACGGCGGTCTGCATTTCAGACTGTGTTTTGGTTGAAACTGACGCATAAACACCTAGACATAAAAAAATATATATTTACCTTCCTGATTTTGCTGAAAGAAATTTGTTTATAATTTAACACAATGAAGGTACCTCGAAGAGCGACCAATGTAGCTGTCCTGCATGGAATAAATTTTTATCAAATGTAACACAACACATCATAATTTAAAAAAGAAGATTTTGTACTAAATTATGTGCCAATGTAACTTCGCTACTTTTTGTTTATGTACATCATCCATTAATGCTTAAAATAAAAGATAAAAGCCAAATCTGAAGCGTATTAGCGGAACCAAAACCAAAAGAGAGATAGGGAGAATGTTTCCTAAATCATATTTACATAGAGTTCGACGTGTTGGACGTAAGCAAAAAGGAAAACCAACAAAAATAAAATGAAACTTGTCTTCAGTGCCTTTGCGTAAATAATCTGCCAAAACACAGTCTAAATAAAAACATACTCGGTGTCAACAAAACACTTTTAAAAAATTATTCTTTACAAATTTGTTGCCACCGGTTCAGATCAGGGGCTGTCAGAACTACAGCGTTACTACTATTTGTCGTACCGTTGCGGGTACTGGGTACGAATTTACTTACTGGGTAACATCCCTGTTTCCATTGGACGGTGGTTACGGTGAATAACAGAAAAAAGTGCAATTAAATAAAAACAAATCAAAATAAACGACACCCGTCAGTAGGCCAAAACTAAAGTATTAATTTTGTTAATCTGATTAGTATGGGAGGGTCCTAGTTTGAAACAAAAAACTGCAGGTGTCAGTCAGTAGCACTGGGAGGAGTTGTAATATTTGCCGAGGAGACTCATCCAGTTTTTTGCTAGCAATCACAAGTTACAGTAAAATATGTGAAATAATGCATTGCACGTCCTTACACGTAACAATTTTTTAAAAAGAACCAATGTAAAAATTTGGAATCGAATAAAATTTTGTGCGTTCCAATGGGTGTAATGATATTTGCAGGCCACCTGACTAGATGTACATATAACAATATATGAAACAAAACTTTTTAAGCAGGCAATATCATGCAAAAAAAGTTTCAAAAAACACGTGGGGGCGGGGCGGGAGCAAGGATGTGCAAAAAGTCTGAATCTCCTTTTTGGTAAACGACCCTCAAAAAACGATGGACGTTTAAGTTAGTATTTTTTTTTCTGTGGTTAGTACGCCGCCCCATACACAGGTTAAAAATGTCACAATGTCTCGTCGGAGTGCCGCAAGAGGTCGCGTCGCCCCCCCGGGTTTCAAAAACCGCCCTCCTGCGACACCCCCGGACCAAAATTGCATTAATAAACAATATATCGGTTAGTTTCGATCCACCTGCAAAAAAATCACTCAAAAATCACATCACAGGCTCAAAAATCATCAATCTCAAAAAAAGACCACCATATTTGTGTGTGTGTGTGCGAAAAAATCATGTCCGGATAGCGGCAAAAAGTCGGCCCAAGTAGCACCTGGCTTCAAAAATAAAACAGCGCTCCTTGCTACTCCAAAATATATAGTAAAAGGGTAACTGAGTATGTGCAAGGCGCGGAGATGTCTCGGGATCATGAAAGGCGGGTGATTTGGCGCGCTATTTGAATATTTTTCAGAAACAGAAACTTAAATAAAATTTATAAATAGAATAGATACAAACTATGTATTCATAGAGGTTAAGTGGAATTGGCAAGGGAAGGGAGGCACTATAATTTAGTTAAAACTACTAATGTAGGTACTGATGTAGTTATAGAGTGTTCTACAAGGAAGCACTGAAACTGTAAAACATTCCTCAGGTATTAATAAACCAAAAAAGCGACCTTGGTCCAGAAATGTGTTATTACCGAAATATATACTTTCAAAATGTAATTTTTTTGCAAATTTGTTCTAACAAAGTATACAAAGATGGGGAAGTATAACAAAGTGCTACATACATGAATGGTCACTGATACTGATAAAGAGCAACCCGCCATTTCACAGGTACTGTGAGAGCAGGACCTGTATTGCTACTAGCAGAAACAAATTTAAAGAAATGATATACCACTCCAGAAAGCATTGGATTATACTGCAATATCTAGGAACAACAAGTAGCATTGGTCGGCAGAACCACCAGTCATATACCGGTTTGGAATTTATTAATAACACAGCCACACAGAAAAAAAAGTTGTCTGTACTTTTCATGCGACATATGTTATCCGTAGTATTTTTGCCTCCTGATCACGAATCCGGTGTCAGAATTAAGCTATAACATCACAGGAACTTCCTAACCTCAAAAAAACAGGTCAAAAATAGCAAAAATTCACGAAAAAGTGGTAGGAAAAGTACAAAATTTTTTTCTATATTCAAATGTTTATTTGTATGGTTAAGACCCCGCCGAACGTGAATCCGCGGTTAGAATTGATCTGTTTCTAACCTAAAAAAAAAACTGGTCAATTAAGGTCAGATATCACAAATTTTCAAAAAATAACAGATTCACGCCAAATTTGGTATACGGGGGTTTTCGGGATCGCTGATCACGGATCCGAGGTCAATTTTGCAAAATTCAAGATGTCGGATCCAAGATGGCCGATCAAATTTTCAAGAAATAACACAATCTCGCCAAATTTGGTATACGGCGGTTTTCGGGGTCACTGATCACGAATCCGAGATCAGATTTACAAAATTCGTTTTCAAAAATTTAATCAATTACCTATGTACTTTAAGAAGGTTAAAACAGGATTTGGTACTGAGGTTATAAAGTAAACAAAAATATTACAAAATGAATTTCGCAATTCTAACCTTGAATTCGTAATCAGCGATCCAAAAAACCCCCGTATACTAAATTTGACACGAGTGTTATTTTTTGAAAATTTGGTCGGCCGTTTTAAATCCGCCATCTTGAATTTTGCAAAATTGACCTCGTATCCGTGATCAGCGACTCTGAAAACCCCAGGATACTAAATTTGGCGTGAATGGGTTATTTTTTGAAAATCTGGTCGGTCATCTTGGATCCGCCATTTTGAATTTTGCAAAATTGACCTTGGATCCGTGATCAGCGACCCCAAAAACCCCCGTATACCAAATTTGGTGCGAATCTGTTATTTTTTGAAAATTCGTGATATCTGACCCGTTTTTCAATTCTGACCACGGATTCATGTTCAGTGGTGTCTTAACCATATAAATGAACATTTGAATATAAAAAAACCTATTTTTTGTATTTTTCCTAGCACTGAATTTTTGCTATTTTTACCTGTTTTTTGAGGTTAGGAAATTCCTGTGATGTGATGGTTTAATTCTGACATCGGGTTTGTGATCAGGGGGCAAAAATACTACGGATAACATATGTCGCATGAAAAGTAGACAACTTTTTTTTGTGTGGCTGTGTAATCATTAATATACCAAAGATGAGAAACAAAACATAATCTAGTTGTTTTTGATGTCTGTCATGGATTGACTATGACTGGGATATAACAAGTCACTGTTACTCAGAGGGACAAAACCGACAGAGAGGCAGATGTAGCACCTCGTTATATCTCACTCATACTCACGCCATGCCTGTAGTTGTGACATCAAAAACAGCTCAATCATTCATCAGTTATCTCACTTACGTCATACTGATGAGAATTGATACGTTCAAAATCGGTATATGTCTGATGGTTCAGCTGACGAATAATCCCAGCGGCTTACTAGCTCCGACAGGTATAATTCAATGCTGGTCGGGGCATTAGTCCACAGAGCAGTTATTTCGCGCAATATCAGCAGTTAAAAAGTATACAGTTGTTAAAAATATTGCGTAAACGTAAAAGTAATGCTGACCTGTTAGACCAACCTTAAGATTGGTTTTGAAAGAATTGAAAGGAGAAATTACTTTACTAAATTGTGTAAATCGATCATTAATAATTTATAAAGTATTAAAAATGTTTTTTTTTGTTTTTTCTATAAACTTGAAGAAAATTACACATTTCTTGAATAACGTTGTTACATTCTTTTGTTTTTTAAGCTAATGAATGTCGTGATAAAATTTCTGCACTTCCTCTTAGGACACTCTCTGGAGAACAATCTAAATGAGTTGAATTGGATTATTGAATAAATAATAATGGACGTTACACATAGTTGTATACACCTACGGAAAGTAATTTGAATTCATTATATTTTTTTTCGAAACTTATTTTGTATGTTTATCGTATTTTTGTTTTTCCCGCCTTTCAACAAAAACCAAAACAATCCGGAGACGTCCCCGCGCCCGGTGTATCGTAAAACAAACTGAAACACAGTTAAATATTGATGTTTATGCAAGGTGTGCCGTATAAACAAACTGATTGAATAAAAGTTGATAGATTAGTGCAATCGATCCGATACACAGATCGACCAGAGCAACTGAAAGTAAGGTGCGCTGAAAATGAGGAAAGAAGCAGCTATGTCCAGTCGTACCTAGTCGAGCGGGCTCGAATCCGGCCTGCCGGGGGGATGCTGAAACGGCAAATCGCACTCGCACGCCCACTCACACATTTTTCTGTCTAGCTTTTCCTACCGCGCCTCGCGACTGCCAATGCATACTTACGTCCAGGGGTTTCTTCAGCACTATCCAACCCGACTCGGGCTGGATCTCGAAATATTCGAGGTCGGCCGCGTTGGAACCGGCGTTCAGCGTGTACACTATGGCGCCGTTGTTGTCGGCGTCCTCGTCGGAGGCGGACACGCGGAGGATGTTCGTGCCTATGCTGGCGTCTTGCTTCACGTTTTCCACGTATTTCTTGAAATAAAAATATTGACACAGTGACATAACACAATTTATTCTCAACTCACAAATATTCCTGGCCTAATGAGGTACATACAGTTTTATCGTTTGGCAGATGTTTTGCTGTTCTAGAGCTATAAAACTGAAAACTTTCGTAGATACACATCGTAACAATGTGACGTCGTTGTTCACAAAACTGCTAATTAAAGAATCTTCGGAGGAAATGCATCGAAAGGTCATAATAGAAGACCAAGATGAGAATTGCAAATGCAATCGGCAAAAGTGTGCAGCAGCAGCTTCTTAAAGAGTTAATCCCTATCCCCAATTCTGATAATTACCTACATGAAAGCCTTCAAATTAATAACTTTAAAGTGTTGGGGTACGAAACATTTATCATTTACTACGTTGTATACAATTTAGACGTCAGCTTTACCACAAAGTTGGAAAGAAACAGTACTTTTCCATTAGTAATATCTTGTCAAGGAAACAAGATGGCACCCTAGGAGGCGTTTACAGAGAGCCAACCACATTACCATCCGGTTCATGTGCAAGGTATCGTTGTCAATGCATTAGGGCATCGAGCATTTGCAATAAGAGCACACCAAATGACAACCTCTCGCTGGTAAATATCGCTGCGGGCGAACAGATGACGATGTCCGAAGTTCAAGTTGCACAAACATCATTTTCACTCCTTAGTCAAGCTCCGCAACAATATATACTTCCCGACCAATGTATGAGTCATTTACTATGGTGCATCTCATTAACTATGAGAGAAAATAAATAAACTAACAGAAATATAGAAGGCTATCCAAAAGCAACGAAAAAGAGGAATGTCTGGTAGCAACCTATCTGTCCTACAAACAAGGATGCTTTGACAAGGCCGTTTTTTAAAAATACAGAATAATAATACCCTCCATAATATCTCAAGAAGCATCTCAGCTTTACACAAGACAAGCTGCAAGAATAATGCACTAAGGGTGATAAATCGCAAAGAAAATGAGCAATTGTTATTAAGCAACTGATAGCTAAATGCCTCTGTTTTCGAGAAAATTAATTAGAAAAATTAACCATAAATGCAAGCCGACACTGTGCATCTTGTGCAAGTGCGTTGTGTTGCATTATTACTTAGCCGGCATATAAAACTAACAGTATCGTATGGCGTGTACTACGGGAACAATTATTACACCCCTATCATGTACAAAGGGTTCAGATATTAAATGACAATGATTTTCATCCCCGTGTGGAATTTTGCCAGTGGTTTCGACATCAAATAACACAACATCCGGATTTTACAAACAAGGTGCTTTTTACGGATGAATATTGTTTTACTAGAGACGGCATACAAAATTTTCACAACATTCACTCATGAACTGGTGCAAATCCTCACGTTGTACAGAGTTCTTTCAGTGAATGTGTGGTGTGGTGTTTTTGGTGACAGAATTTTGACCGTCGGTTGAAAGCATGTTTATTAGCACATGGAAACAATTTGAACAATTTTTGTAAAGCATATGGTCTATTGGTCAGTAATTCGTTTATTCGCTTAACTTTTGTGTTACTTTTGAACGAGATTTTAATGAATTTCAGTTTTACATAAACTACAACAACACCGTATGGAAATCAGCAGTTGCGGAAGCACAAGGCAACGATAGGACCTTAAAGACCTAAGTCATATCAAAGTGTGAAAGAGAGAAGATTTTGACCAAAGCTACAGAAAAACATACAAAACTATTCACTTGCTTTAAACCATGCACTAAAATGACATGGCATACAATACATGCAGTAAACTTGAAAATCCAGAAAACTTAACCTGTCAAAATGTCTACTGAAAAAAAAAACTGACAACATGGCGACCAACCCAATTATCGTAAGAAATAACTCATAACTTCAAAACCATCACCAAATGGAAAACTAAGCAGCAGCAGAAATATTTTTAGTACCTATTTCCAGACCAAGTTACAAGAAGATATTATAGAATAAATTTGATAACAGATATTATATTTTAGATCTACAAACAAAGCCTCTAAATTAAAAAAATTTACTCCATGAACGTAGTTCATTTGTTTATATCCCGAAACTGATCAATTATTTATGTTAATTGGTAACATGTGGTAGATACATTGTATTAGCATTCCAAATGATGCCCAATTGACCTAATTCACTTCATCTGTCCAGATTCTACAGCATTTCCAATAACGTTTTGTTGTCACAAAAATACTGCGCAAATTAATTTCGCCCATAATAATGAACATTGGTGGACATACAAAGTTAACATTGAAACATGAAAGAGATGAGAAACAACAAATTGGAATTTTATGAGACAATATGAATGAATAGGTGATAGAGTTGATAACGATAAAAGAGAGTATACTCCGATTACTCGATAAATTACTCAAGTAATTTTTTTCTTGAAATCCAAATATTTATTTGGACTAAATTTTAGCAAAGGTCTTCACACCGATCACAAAAAACTTTTGATAAAGGCGAGACGGCTTCAAAAGCGATTATGTAAAAAAAATAAAAGAAGTAAATAAAATCGATTTGGATTTAAATATCTAAATTGAATTTCACCAGTTTTTATGCCTTTTCAATAGAAGCCAACAAATTTGATCCACATCGATGATCTCTAATTATTCTCTAAAATCAAGTAATACTAAACATCTGCCAAAGAGTTATGTCCTAGAACAAAATCTCTAAAAATAGAAAACATAATATTTCAACTTACCTGTCTGTCGAAAAGAGGGGGATTATCATTCACGTCCGTAATTTCCACAGTAAAAGAACAGACTCCTTCTAACGACGGTTCGCCTTGATCTGTAGCTTTAACAGTAACAGACACAAACTTTCCATCATCGCCTTCCCTGTCAAACACCTTATTGGTGGACACCTCCCCAGTTTCCTCGTCCACGGTAAATTTGGTCCCTTTCTGGTTAGGCTGTTGGACAATGGAATACTTCACTTGCCCATTGACACCCTTGTCTTCGTCTGTGGCGTGAACTTTGATAACAGGGGAACCATTGGGAGCGCCTTCTTCCACTTTTGGATAGTAAGTCCCGCAGTCCTTAAAAATTGGCTTATTATCGTTTACGTCGGTGATAAAGACGACGACCACGGCGGTGCTGGTGTGGATCGTCGCGTCACCGTTGACGCAACACGCGCCGTCGTCCATAGCTGTTACGTTTAACTCGTATTTGTCCCGTTCTAGAGATATGGCTTTGCTGTGCAAACGGATCACACCTGTAATTTCCTCTATCACGAACTGTCCAGAACTGGTGCCGCCTCCCACAAAACCAAATCTCACATTATCACCGTCTTTGTCAGAAGCAACCACGGTCGTAACCAAAGTGTTCGGACCAGCGTTCTCGTCGACGTTAGGCGTGTACACTTGCTGCGAGAACTTCGGTTCTTCGTCGTTTTTATTCTTCGTGTAAACCCGTACGGTAGCGGTACCCGTTTTGGCTGGTTCCCCTTTGTCTTTCGCAGTCACCACAAATTCGTAGTAAGCGTTGTTGTTATCCGCATCTAACTGTTTGTTGTTGGAAATGATTCCACTCGGATCCACACTGAAATGATCGTCTGATACCATGTACTCTATCTCTGCGTTGGTGCCACTATCGGCATCCATGGCCTTCACCTTAAGGATACTAGTACCAGCTGGGATGTCTTCATCCACATTGTGGGCTTGGTAGTCTGGTAACTCGAACTTTGGGGCGTTGTCGTTGACGTCGGTCACTCGAATTGTCAGCTAAAACGAATCAAAGTTAAATAAAGGCCAGAAACAAGTCTGGTTGTACCAAGATTTACCTCTACTGATGTTGAGAATCCGCCTGAGTCTTCAGTAGCAGTGACCACGAGTGAGTAAACATGGGGCTGTCTCAAATCCTCGAAGTCTAATTCTTTGGCTAGCTTGACTATGCCGGACGTGGGACCGATGTTAAAAGTTCCAGCACCCTGTCCCTGAGCCTTCAACGTGTATCTAATTTCTCGATCAGCAAAGGACTTGGCTTTCACCGATATGATGCTGTAAAGAAAATAGGTCAGGGTATGTTTCTTGGAGAAAACTCTTATTTATTATACATTTAAAAGTTTTGTTCCGAACTACTTCCTGAAGGAATAGTCAGTCATATATTACAGCCAGATAAAATTTCCCAGTTTTATCGGGGAAACTTTCTTATACTTCAAGTTGCGCGATATTTCCATAAGATTATTAAGGGGCCATTAAAACTAGAAACATTTTGCGGTTAATTTTCCATATTAGTAAAACTTTGCATGAATTGCAAGCGTATTTAATACGGCGTTCATGATTCTGGCAGCTAATTATAACTTAGCCGCCTTAATTGTATTGCTACGTTAACGAAACTAATTTTCCTACAAAATAGTTGCATATTCTTATGCGCAGTCGGGTTCAAGTGCAGCTTAGTTTATTTCTCTCCGAAATGCAGCAAGTGTGTTATAGTCAGGAGTAACTCAATGTAATATCTACTTATGAAGTAGATATCACATTAGAGAAAAGAGGATGCTAGGACTCGAAAATGGAAAATAAAAAATGATGTCAAATCTGAATTGCGCTGTATTCTGTTCATTATGCTTCAAAGTTTTTAGAGGCAACAAGTACGCAATAAATTCCTTTATAGAAGAGATTCTCTAATTCCTACAACTCTTTTCTCGAGTCATTTAATGGCAGAAAAAAAGAACGCTAAAGACAAGTACTATTGTCTAAAGTTATTTTCAACAATTTTTGTCTTTTGTCTATAGTTCTATTTCCATCCTTAAATTTAGTAGATCCAAAGCTAGTTGCTACGGTAAATACGCTGTTAAACGTGAAACAGGGACTAGAAAAACAGATAGTTTACATAATCTTAGCATATCATACATAGCTAAAGTGGCTTTGTGTTTGTTTATGTGGCGTTACTCGAGGCAGAAGATTATTTATCATTTTCAACTTCCATTAACATTAAATATACGAAACCGCCTATTATCTCTGATAAATTATTCACCGCTTTATTCCTCATATCGTGGATTATTATTACCCATTTCTTGAGTAGATTTCACTTACTTCGAGTAACTATCAATTTACGTCGCGAAACCAAACGAAACAAAAGACATAAATTTTACAATCAAATCAAACCATGCCTCACAGTAATGGCCGGCTGTAGTAACAGACCGGTACAATTATTTCCCGCCTATGACTTTTTGTAACTCATTGATCTGTTTGCTTTTAAATGATGATTTATGGTCGTGGCGCTTTTGTTTCGATATTTTTCTAGCTGGCATTCTTTCAGCACTACCACAGAGAATAAATGGTAGTCATACGGATGTGACAGTCATGTCAAATGTATAAATTAATAAGGAAAAGCAGCAATATTTCAAATTTGAAAAAGTAGGTGTGTGAAGGATTACCGTAAAAGCTTTTCGAATTTTTCTGCGAAACAAGAAATGCTTGCTATATATCATAGGAATAGTTGCATTAGTGGAAAATATTACAGGACTGACTACTTTTTGACTTATACGGGAAAATAAATCGAACACAGACATGTGTTAAAGATTGTAACCCAAAAATTATATTACAAATGGTCTGATACTGCTATAGATATATTTTCTGTTCAATATTGTAGATTGACAATTTGCTGTAATTATATATAATAAGTACCTATATCTATTATTCAGAAATTGTTATTGTCAAAACATTGAGTGACGGTAAGAAATGTTTTTAATTTTTTAATGAATCGACCCGATTTTTACTTTTCTATAAATATTTTTACTTTTCTATAAAACACAGTTAATGTGATAGTTAATATAATCTTAATATTATTCTGTAACTGGATTTAGAAATACGATTACTAGTCCAGTAATGACCATTTTCATTTTTCACGAATAATTTTGCCAAACAGCACCGATTTCATAAAAATTTGGATTTAGGTTCTACTTACCCTCTACTTCAAAGTTGACCTTGTTTTTACCCTGAGGGTGGATGTCACCCCTTCTCGAGGGTGGACAATGTTTAATTGAAAATCAGCTCCTAATTACCACCCCAATTGAAAATAAACGTTACCACTTTACAATTTACTTTGTTTATGTACTTGTAATATGCTCTAGAAGTTTGACCCGTTTAAAGTGCTTAGTTTTGAAGAAAGTTGAGCTGGAAGTGAAAAGAGAATTTTTGTATTTTTGGAAAAATAGATTTTTCTTCAAAATAACTGAAAAACTATTAATGATAAGCAAAATTGTGTAGAGTACAAAATTGTAGGTTTTGCTTTTTTGAAAATTTTGTTTTTTTTTTTCTATAGGATAAAAATTAAGTAAGATATGGCCGTTTAAAGTTTGCATATGTTCGTAAATAGCAACTTGTTCAAGCCCTTTCAGCTCAAACCCTTACAAAAATAAGGGCTGAATGAAAATTTAACTTATTTGATCTTATAGCCTTTGAAAAAACCTACAAAATGGTTTTTGGAAAAGCTTGATAGCATAAAAACTAAGCGAGTTATGGGTAAAAAACTAATCACATATTTTTACAGATATCAGAACACGTACAGGGTCGGAAAGTCCCCATGGTTCATCAGCCGTTACGTGAGAGCGATAAAGTAAGTCATAGAAATCCGTGCGATAGAGAAAGATGGCTATAATGAGAGCGTCTAATAGTCACCGCCCATTTCGCCCTTCCACAAATAAGATCCACTTCTTATTTGTGGAAGGGCGAAATCGGGGGTGACTATTTGACGCCATCATTATAGCCATCTTTCTCTATCGCACGTATTTCTATGACTTACTTTATCGCTCTCACGTAACGGCCGATGAACCATGGGGACTTTCCGACCCTGTATATTGAAGCATTGATGAATGGAAATAAAAATAGGAATTTTAGGAATAGAATAGAAAAAGAAGACGAGTGAAGAGGATTTTTGATTATTTATGTTATTTGTAATAAAAAAAAATTGTTACAAAAATAAAAAAATTAAAATCCATATAAAAATAAAATTCTTATTCTCCCTATTTTTGATTGCAAATTTTAATCAGTAGGGTTTTTTTTTAAAGTTTGGTAAAATAAATACATTACATTTTAAACAATAAAAAGATTGTATTATTTTTGAACTAAAAAAATTTTTTAACTATAATTGCTCGATTTTTTTTTTGCAAGGGGTGGTTTTTATAAGGGTTGAAACTTATAAATAACTAATAAAAAATTAAAACAGTAAAGAAATCCTAATTTAATGTCACTATGTGATTAAATTTTTCCAAGTTGCTGAATAATATTTTTTAACATTATTTTTTACTGTCTAGGGGGCAGTTTTTAGGGATTGACAAATTTCAGTTCATCATAATTACTTATTTAAAGATGATTTCAACCTATTACACGCTCGAATCTACAATTCTATAATTATTTTCGAATAGGGGTAGTTTTCACTCTTAAAAAATCAAAAGGAACCCCCGGCACAGGATCAACTTTGAAGTAGAGGGTATGTAGAACCTAAATCCAAATTTTGGTGCAAATCGGTGCTGTTTGGGTAAATTATACAGTAACGCCGTATTTTACCTTGAATGACTGGACTATACCATAAATCAAAATCGTAATCAGATTCTTCGTAATCAGATGGATTGTGTCTGTTATCTGAAGTAATGGGACTAAATGTAATTTTGCCAAACGAAAGGATACATTTGAAGGTGATTATCTTATTTTTGGGCTGTTATAAGAATTCTATGCATCTTTTGTAGACCAATACCAAACAGTTTATGAGACCACTTAATCTAAAAAACATGGTTTATTTATTTCTAGACCTACATTTCTGTAGACATACAATCTTTAATCGGACTTGTTTTTACCTACTGTGATAAGGTGATACCAATATAGATTTATGAGTTCAACTACCTCAAATCTAATTTCGATATAACGATTTTTCTAAAGCATTCGATCGGTTTGATCACAATTTATTAACATTGAAATGGGAATCATATGCCCTGTTAGCATTGTTTAAATATTATTTTAGTAATAGATTCAAGTTTGTACAGTATAATGGCGTTCCTCAAGGATCAATCGTGGGGCCACTGCTATTTGTAAATTTTATTAATGATCTAAGTTCGTTATGTACTCTATGCGGACGATCTTACGTTGTTCTTGGAAGTTAAATGTTCTACTGATTGTAGGTACTAGATTACAAGATCATCTTGATAGGTGTTCAAATAAAAATCTACCTTTGAATGTAAGCAATGTAAAATTATGACTTATAGTTATAAAATTCGTGAATCTTTTCTAAATAGAACTATGTAATTTACTGACCTTGGTATTATATTTTGATGAGCATATTAGTTTAGTAACCAAATCTTATTTTAAAAATTTAGGCTTTATCTAAATATATTGTACGTAGCATTTGTGCATTGTAAACTAGCATATGCATCCATTGTTTCGTATTTCATTTATAATGTTCACAATCTTTAATTAGACAAAGTACAATGAAGATATTTAAAGACTATTCATTTTATTAATTATGGAATTTATCCTCCTCGTGGAGGTGTACACCTCAAGAATTATTGTTTTCTTGTTTTAATTTTAATAGTATATGTCGTAGGCGAATTGTTTTCAATTATATAAATTTTTATAATTATAAATAATACTTTAGATCATAATAAATAAATAAAAACGACATTGGTTGCAAACTGCATGTTTGTATCATTTACCATCTTCTGCAAAATTTTTATTACAAAAATGAAAAGAAATTTACTATTGAGCTCCTATATTAAATGTCTATTATGCTTCAAAATATTGTTTAATTAATTCATCATACTTACTCTGAGTCCTTCTTCTGATTCTCGGGTATCTCGGCTTCGTAACTGGGCATATAGAACTGTGGTGCCCTCTTCCCGCCCACTATAGACAGCCTTTCCTCCGGAGTAGACTGGTATCTCCGATCATCCACCCTTCCGTTCTGATCCTCGGCCTTGACGTACAAAACGTACTCCATGTCAAGCTGAAATAGGTCAGTCCCTCTGGTCCTAACCACCCCCGACCGCTCGTCCACCTCAAATCGCCCCCCAGTGCGGTCCCTCACTATGAAATAGTGGATGCTGTGGTCCGTGTCGGGATCGCGAGCCTGGAGCGTGAATACGGGGGTGTTGGGGGGAGCGTTTAGTTGCACGACGGCCTGCATGGGTAGAGGCCTGTTTATGAAGTAAGGGGGTTCGTCGTTCACGTCCCTCACGTGGATGATGACGCGCTGATTGTCGGTATCTGGAAGAAAATGTCTTCGGTTATACGCGAGGTGTGACAGGAGAGATACGAATCTGCCGTAGATGTTAAAGGTGAATAGACGTATTTTAGCTGATTACACGGGCCAAGTTGTCAGCGCTGTAAAGCAAACCATGTCATTCTTATATCAGAAGTCACCACAAACTCATAAACTGAAGGAATCTATAACCCCATGACCCATAACCATATGAGACAGGGAGTCCAGTGAACAGAACCAAGCAACTCAAATCTGTTCAATACATTCCTAGTCTCATAAGGTTGCCTTTATGGTACTTTCTGGTATAGAGCTACGGAATTATAGAGTTTCTTGAATCTTGGTTCCAAGGTTAGTCAACCAGAAATATCGTGGTCATTTGAATTATTTGGTTCTGTTCAATCCGTTCCCAATTTCATAGAGCTATGGGGTTATTGGGCTCATGAGGTTCAGATTCAGTGATTCATATGTTATAATACCATGGTCTGCCTTAAGGCGTAGACAATTTTTTTTGTAAGCCTGTGTTAACGACATCTGCAAAGTGCATGCCAAGTCATGCGTCCTGACGAGTCCAAAAATCGTGCTTTATTACTAAATCAATATTTTAAGTGGAAAATTAAAAATGAGCATCTAAATCTAGTTAAAGTAAATGATAGAAATGTAAAGCCTTAAAATAGGAAGCCTTGTTAAAAATATTGTTTTGATAGATGAAGTCAAATGTATGGGTTCAAGTCAGGTGTTGATAGCACTGACCAATTTTTCTCTTACTGTTCGTTGTCTTAACAGAAGAGACCGATAACTGATTTGGTAGTCAACACAACAGAGAAAAAGATACAAATAGAGTCATCACCAAATAATCTTCTAGTGGACTGTAACATCGTCGGGTATTTGAGAAAACTAAAATATAGTTTTGTTTGCTAATTTTTTATGAAGAACAAATTTCTTTTGTAAAAAAAACTATTAAGTATGTCATTCCACAGACATAGATATCATCTTTGTTTTTCCTTTTGAAAGTCTGAATATTTCTGCATATAATAGTATGTTTCTTCAGGATTACAGACATCTAAAGTTTCCCTTGTGTTAAAGATTATACACTGCTCAAAATAATTAGAGGAACACATATTTAAATCTCAATAACTTTTTTTTTGTATTACTATATAAATCTAATAATGCATATCTTAAAGACTAACATTTTGTTCGAATAAATTTACGAAAATAAGACAAATTTACATAATCACTCTTGAGACAACAGCGCCAATTCAAAAAAACTACAAGAAATAAAGTGAAGAGTCTGTCATCCTGTCTGTATAACATAAAGGTCCTGGTGAGATTTGGTTCACTAATATCGTGTAAGTCTTCCATTATCACGAATTACTGCTTGACACCTCCGTGGTAAGCTTCGGATGAGCCTACGAATGTCTTCTTGTGGTATATTCTCCCATTCTTCGATTAGGGCATTAGTTAACTGTTGGAGAGTGTGAGGTGGGTCTGGGCGCCTCCGATCACGCCTATCTAACAAATCCCAAAGATGTTCGATGGGGTTTAGATCAGGACTTAGCGGAGGCCAATCCTTGGATTGAATCCCGTGACGTTGAAGGTGATAATCGCCTTGCGTTATCTTGCATAAACAGAAAATTTTGACCTATACCATAAGCGGCTGGGATAACATGATCTTCTAGAATGAGATCAATGTACCGTTCAGCGGTTAGAGTCCCTGGAACTATGACAAAATCGGTTCTTTCATCAAGACTAATTCCGCCCCAAACCATCACTGACCCACCACCAAATCTTTCGACTTCTTGTATGGTAGCTGAAGAATGGCGTTCATGTGGACGTCGGTATACACGTACTCGACCATCACAACGACTTAAACGAAATCGTGACTCATCTGTGAAGAGTACTGGTTTCCAATATCGAAGTTGCCATGCCACATGCTCACGTGCAAAATGTAAATAAGACCTTATGTAATACGGATTTAAAATAGGTTTTCGCACGGGTCTTCTTGGTCTCAAGTTTGCTTCTCTCAGTCTATTCCTAACTGTCTCTTTGAAGGTATTTTGCTGTGGATGTACGAGAAGGCAAGGAGGATAGGACTAAAAACCTGTCCTAAATTCGGTTTGTTTTCCTCTTAGGACCTTGTCCAATGCATCTTTTATATCCTCCAGTTTTTAAGTAACGATTCCACACGCGATGGATGACAAAAGGGCTTTCGTTAAAATCTCTTGCAACCTGTCGAATACTGGTGCCATACTCTGTACTAGCAACAACACGAACGACTTCAACTTCACTTAGATGCTTAATTTTTCACAATTTATGCTGAACTGTCAACATTGTTTACTATTCCAAGGCACAGCATATTTCTAAATTGAAATTTTGATTTTCACTTTATTTCTTGTAGTTTTTTTGAATTGGTACTATTGTCTCAAGAATGATTATGTAAATTTGTTTTATTTTCATAAATATATTCGAACAAAATGTTAGTCTTTAAGATATGCATTATTAGATTTATATAGTATTACAAATAAAAAAGTTATTGAGATTTAAATAAGTTTAATTATTTTGAGCATTGTAGTTAGATGTTAAACGACCAATTATTGCAAAGAAATATTTGCCTAATATAGGTACCTATGCTTATGGCACATTGTTTGTGTCATATCTCTATTAATATTGAAGATACTCGTAGACCTATTAAACTTCATAACTGAAAAAATAATATTTAATACAATGTGACTGATAAGTATCTAACTATACAATAACACTACGACTAGGACAAAGAAGTATCTAAAAATTTACGTTTTGACTTTGTACATTTTGATAAAATTTTGACACAGTATATTACATATAGGGCTTAATGATTTAATGTTAAAATTAGTCTTTTACTATTAAAAGGTGTCCAGAAATAGACTGATCTCAACACGTGTTTTTGTTTAAAAGAACATGTTTGTTTCAAACTGAAAATATATCAAAAAACCAAAAAACTTTTTTTTGAACTCTTATCTTTCAAATATTTATTTATCGCAAGTAGCTTCGTGACACTAATTTTTGCGACATTAATTTTTGTCACATCTTCAAGATTCAAAATCTACACAATCATATTAAATAAATGCTTAAAATAATATAAAATGTGTAAAACTTACGCATTATAATGTATGTATATTTGTCAAATTAGTATAATATAATATATAACAAATGGAAGTATGTCAAAGAATATTTTTTTCAAAAGGATTAATATTATCAATAACAGTTTTGAATTAAATAACTAACAAAACTTTGTAGATTATGTACAAAAAATAAGCTGATATCGAAAAAATCTTTTCAAAACTACACCAAGAAAACACCTAATTAAAATAATAATTTTTGACATAAATTATGTTATTTATTTAGTTGTGACTTATAACTAAATGAAAAACATAATAGTTAAATAATCAACTGCTTGGGGTGGCAAATATTACAATATAGTCAAACTGTGTTTGTAAATTTAATAAATTGGGAAGCTTGCAACGACTTGTATTTAGAAATATTTGTTGGAGCCAGTAAAGACCAGTTTTAACATCAAATGATAGACAATTATCTGTGATACACTACGCCAAAAGATGCAAGGTGTTTTTAAAGTTAGAAATCAATAATATGTAAATTTCTGGATACCCCTTGTTAGAAGGAACATCAGGAAAAAAAATCATAGACAGTAGTACTATTATTTTGACTTTCCTTGTATTCTTCCGCGCGATAAGTAGACACTTACTAGACATCAGGCATATCGAAATATACAGGGGCTTCATAATTTATATCTCTGGAATGCGATACTAATTTGATTTTCTAGTTTTTCTTAACCAAAATACGCTTTTCCGTACTACTTGGTGTGCGTAAAATAGATAATTTCTTACAAACACGATGAAAAAGTGACATAAGCGTACCACAAAGACTTTTCTGGATGGTTCTATCCATTACTTGGTCTAAATATATACACAAAGCGTTAGTTCGTTAGAAAATAGCTATTTTCTGTACTTACACAATATAATTTTACAACACAATATAATTTTTTTAATGAGATTCCTTCCTATTGAAAAATTCGCATTCCAACATTTTTGTATGATGACCTATTTTGGGTTTCAAATGAGCAAATTTTGAATAACTGATATTTTTTGTATCTGAATAACCAGCTGATCTCTTTTTTGTATTTATATCCATCGCTAACATAAAACAGACTACTCCAAAGGGAACCATTAACGCAACCGTATTTTTTAACGTCATCTTTTCGTTTGAAAGTGAAATTTTACCACCCCGGTCATTATTTATAGTCTTTCGAGGGCTTAGCAAGCTGCCTATACCAGGATTTTCGTTGCTTCTCGCTCGGCTGGTTCAGTATAAATCGGAGGGTGGTCGTATCAATCGATAAAAGGGAAGGTAATTGCGAGTTAGATTTATGCAAGGTCGAACCTGTTCCATGCTGTGGCACGTGCTGGATGCAGGTAGGCCGGTGGGTTCGAAAAATGTCGTCGCACCGGTTCGACGACAGTTATGAATGCAAGAACGCGTGCCCCTGGTATTAATTATTTAAATTGAGGTAGATCGAGCATTGAAAGATAGGATACAAAAATAATATATGAAACCAGTCACGAATACAGGGCGTTTTATGATTAACTGAGCATACTGTAAGGTAGAGTGGGACAACTTAGTAGAGTACAAAAGTAAGTAAAATAGTTATTGTCAAAATTTTAGGATTTACAGGATGGTTCAAGAATTTTCACTAAAACTAACTTTGGCTATATCTTTTGAACCATTTTTGGGAAATAACTTATTTTTGGCATCCCCCGTATATCACTGAACGTCAATAGATACACTTGACATCACAACTCCAAAATTTCAGGAGCTAATTCCCATTTTATTGTGACCACTAAAAATACCTCCAAATTTTTTTTACTAGAGATTGATTCGATAATAATGATACACATCTTAAGGAAAGATTGCTGACGTCAAATTATGACAATTGATCAAAATACATTTATTTCTTATTCGATTATAGCTCCTTTTCGTTCAACAAGATGTTAAGTCAAAAAAATGCTTTCGATTTTTTGTAATATTTTCAGTATCTCTGGCAGGATTACACAGATTTTAAAACCATCAACATGAATATACTTTCCCAAAGGATTTTTGTGTGCTGGATTCGAATCCGAGGTCCAAATTTTTCATTTGGTTCTGGTTTTCGAGACTAACCTAAAAGTGCCAAAATCGCGATTTCTTACATATTTGAGATTATGTTAATTGAAAGGTAAATTTTTTTGCTGAAACCATTAAAGGGTGAAAAAACAGAATAACACGCCGCTTTATTTAAAAAAGAATATTCAGAAAGCATAGGCTTACAAAAAAAAATAGGAGGTCCATAGGTACTGCAACCCCCTCGCCTCTGTTCGCGCTTTGATGCTTTAAACCAAAATTACACAAAAAGTGTGCCGACTTAGGATCAAAATATATTCTAAATTTCAAATAAATATCTCTACAATCACCGGAGTTATCAATAAAAATCATTTTTTTAATTTTAATTTTGACACCCCGTATTTTGAAAATGGGGCTTCGAAATGAAAAGTAGCATAAGAAAAGTCCCCTTAAGTCCAAAGAATATGTGATTAACGGGTTGACCTACTAATTTGTAACACCCTGTATAATGCGTAAAATAAAGGCCAGATTTGTGGACCTTTTTAAAGTTTACTGCAAAATTTTTGACGTGATAGAGTATTTTGAAGTTCAGATTCATGACCAGCAACTCCAAAAACATATAAGATCCCTACTTCCGGTTGCCGATGAATTTAAAGAATTGGAAATTCAGATTTTTGAGTTGAATATACATACACTGTTACCATATTCGTGTTTAAGTTTAAGTGTCACCTTAAAAACCATGGATTTCTAAATTTTAATAATCAAAATATAAAAAAAAATAGGAAATAAGTATATTTTTGTCTATAACACCCTGTAGAACGAAAAGGAGCAATATTCGAATAAGGCACATTGAGTTCAATTTTCGTAATTTGATTTCAACAGTTTTCCTTCAAATGTGTACCATTATTAATGAATCGCCCTGTATATCATGAAAAATATCTGCTTGAGCCAATGACAAAAATTATGCATTTGATTTTTTTTGTCACGTTTTCCACGATTTTTGATTAACAAAGAAATTCTGGTAATACATTTTTCTGATCAGCTTTCGCATACTCGTATTATTTTAGCAATAAGGACTAGAGCCCATATCTTTGAACATCAATTTGTTATTAATAATACGACTTCTAAATGCACAAAAAAAAGAAAATATTTTGTTTATTAATAAACTGAGGGGAAGAAAAACAAAAAAATCAAATGCATAAATTCACAAAATTGTTTCTAAAATCGTGACATAAACAATTTCTTTGAAAATTCGACATTTACATAATTATTTTTATAAATGTGAAATTGTTTCCAACAAATTGTATATTTTCTCAAATTTTCAGACAATATTGATAGTCTGATAAAATTTGTTCCTGTCACGATTTTAGGAACATTTGTAGGAATTTTCATGAAGTGATCAGTGAGATTTTTGTGTGACGACAAAAAGTCAGTCTTCTAGTCTGTTGCTTTGAAAGTAGTAGTAGTTAAAACAAATAACAGTGAAAATTGCATGAATCACATTTTATATCCCCAAATTTATTGACTCAGGACTTTCTCAAGTAGTCCTTCCGTCTCTTCCACATCAAAGGATGCAAGCTTTGTCAAGAAACATCCTGTGCAGGTTCGTAACATTTTCAAAATTGCAAAAATGTTTAAAATATTTTAAAAAAATACCTATTTTATCTGAGTTTTTTACTTATATATTGGAACCTATGCATTTTG